TTATAGAAAGATGTAAAAAAAAAAAAAAACAAAGTGAGAATCACCAGGGGAAATCACCAGGGGAAAGCCCGGAAAGTCTAAGGAATAGCCAACGCTTGCAGCAAGCACTGTTCTAAAGTGCTCGGGACTCATCTAAACTCATTTACTCACTTATGAGTAACCACTGTATGAGGGTGACATTATTTTAAGACCCATTTTGCAGATGACAAAACAAAGGCACAGAGAAATGAACTTGCCCAGTTCTCATGGTTATTGAGCTGAGGAGCTAGAATTCGAACCCCGACCCACGTTCTTAACCCATTTTAACCATGACTACCTTCCCTCTGAGGCACCTATTTCTAGCCCAGCTCCCGTTGCCCCGGGTTCTCAGCAAGAGCAGGGAAGGTTCCCACTCCGTTCCTCCTCCTGCCAGCCCTCCAACCTTTGTGAGCCTCCCCCTTCACCAGACTTGACAGCAAGCCAGACGGAGCAAGAAGCCACTTTGAGCCCATCAGGATATGTTGAGCATCTAGTTCATGCCCCGGACGATGGGGACATAGCGACTGGCCCCCAGGCCTCCACCACAGGGGCTCTGGTCCACTGGCAGAGACATAACATACAAGCAAGAGCAACTAGCAGCAGAGCTGTGACCACACCGTAGGCCCCTTGGGGACAGGTTCGCATCATATGCACTGGGGATTTATGGGAAGTGTCGCAGAGACGTTGAATGACGGAAGACGTGAGGTAGTAAGTAAGCCCCCAAGCCAGTGGTACTGACCCCTTCTCAAATCCTAGAGAAGTCAGGAAGGGATTTCCAGGTGAGATGACAGCTCAGCTGGGACTCGAAGGAGACAGCAGGTGGGCCGGGGCGGGGGCAGGACCCCACACAGCCACCCCCACGCGATGACGGGCCCTCAGGCCGGAGAAGTCCCGTAGGCGCACAGCAGAGGCAGGTTCTGCAGGTGAGGGGCAGGGGGGACCCCACAGGGACTCGGAAGGACAACCAGGCTCGGATCAGGTGCTCCCAGGCCAAGGGAAGGAACCTCCCCGCCCCGACGTGGGAAAAAGAGGTGTGGGAAGACAGAGACTCCAGGGCTGACACTTCACTTAGCTCTCACCCCAGGGGCCAGGCAAGAGAAAAGATCCTAAGGAGGGTGACAGTTGAATCTTGCATCACAGGAAGGAGGAGGAAGAAGAATCCTCAGGAACTCGAGTAGGAAGGGGTCCCCAGGAGCGATGCTAGGGCCCTTCCCACAGCAGCGTTCCTTTCGAGCACCCGCACTAAAGGGGCCTCGCAGCCTGCTCTGGCCAGAGCCCCTCAACACACCGGCTCCCGAGCCCCCTTCCCTCATCTCAGGGGCCTGCAGATCCCCGTGAAGACAAGAGTCGTCCCAAGCCGCTTTCACCTCGTGGGCAAAGTCCAAACCCGTCCTGCTGGCTGCCCTGACCGGGGGTGGGGAGAGATCCCGAAGCTGCATCCCGACTCAGTGACCGAGTCCTGTATTAATCAAGTCATATCTGCCACGGACACAACCCCGAGGAGCGGCCACACGGGCGCCCATTTGCCCTCCCTGCTTTCAGTAATTTGCATTTATTTTGTTGTGATGCGGACTCCCGTAGAGCAGAGACAGTCGTATTTATTTTTGTGCCAGGCGTGGTGCCAGGTGGTCAGTGGGTAAACAGAGATCATGGCACTCAGCAAATGTTTGTGGAGTGGATGATCAAACCCATTTGTTCCTGAGAAAAGTGACGACAGAAGAGCCAGATGCTGAGAGCTTTCGGAACACAGAAGCGGCGGGAAGGGCCTCTTCCTTTGAAGCCAGCCTGCCGATGCCAAGGTCCCCGTGACGGGTCTGGGCCCCATCTGCATGTCCCAGGCCGGCTCCAGAACACAGCCAATGAATTCTGGAACGTGTGCGCTGAGCCTCGCTAGGAGTGGGCCTGTGAATCCAGGCGAATGCCAAAGCATTCCTCAGGCATCTGCTTTTCCAAAAAGGAGACATGAAATACAGAAAGCAGAAGCACGCCTGGCTTGGCCTCTAGAACCATCTAGAAGTGGGCTGGGCCAACAGATTCTCACTCTGAGGGGCTCCCCTCGAGTACTGACAATGAGCAGACTTCACATCCCTCTTTCCTATCCCTCAACCCTCGGCAGGGAGCCCTGCATGGAGCAGATGCTCAGTGGATAAGACAGAAACACTGCATTTTAAAAACTCCCGAACGGATGAGGAGGAAGGCAAACAGGTGAGAAGTGATGGTGCAAGAGGCAAGTGACAAACGCCCTAAGAGGGGATAAGAGGACACACGAAACTGCTAAAGGAAGCAGCGTGGATGCACATCACTGCTCCTGGAGCAACGAAGACAAAGAGGTTGATGGAAAAGTTCAGGACCGAGTCACAAGCTCAGCAGGTGCGCTGAGGCCGGAAACCCTGTGGGCAGACTTTTAACAGGGAGAGAGGAAGGGAGCAGGTGCTTTAGGCAGAAGCAACGGAGAACACAGCTCAGAGGCAGGAGGAGAAGGGCAAAGTGGAGACACAGGAGGAACATTCGTGGGAGGCGAGTCTTGGAGCTGCCGGGAGCGAGGTTAGAGCCAGGCGCACGAACTGGGGGGTGTCGTAGGAGCCCGGGTGGTGGAATGGGGGGGGCAGTATGAGGCCTGAACTAACGGATGGGTCATACAGATGAAAATAAAGATTAAAAGCCAAGGCCAAGGGAGCCCAGGTGACTCCATTGGTTGAGGATCCGACTCCTGATCTCAGCTCAGGTCATGATCTCAGGGTCAGACTCTGCGCTGAACGTGGAGCCTGCTTAGGATCCTCTCTCTCCCTCTGCCCCTCCTCCCACTCACACATGTTCCCTCTCTCTCTCTCTCTCTAAAAATAAAATAAAAGCCAAGGCCACATGAAAAGGGAAAATCAGGAAGGAATCAAAAGCGCAAAGGGAATCAAAGGCCCCAAGCCCCCAGGAACAAGAAATAAAAGGGAAAGATGAACAAAGCAGCAATTTTCCACGAATCCTTAGAAACGGGGGTCGCTTATGTGGCCTGGGGAGCACATCCTTGTCTGGCAAATGCCCAGGGCCAGGAAATTAAGTACTCAGGTGGCTCTTTCTGGTGCAGCCTGTGGCGCGGCCCTCCTCGTGTCAGCTCCTCTTCCTCCCTTCCCCTCGTGGGAAAATAAGGAGGGGGACAGCCCTTCTGTCCTAGATTTCCAGTGCCCTTTGCTCCAGACAGCTACCCAGGGACCCCGGATGCCCCTGTCTCTCCATAGCAAGGAAAGTTTCTAATGTGCTTACTCCTCCTAGGACATCTGCATTTTAAAATTTTTTTTAATTTATTTACGATAGTCATACAGAGAGAGAGAGAGGCAGAGACACAGGCAGAGGGAGAAGCAGGCTCCATGCACCGGGAGCCTGACGTGGGATTCGATCCCGGGACTCCAGGATCGCGCCCTGGGCCAAAGGCAGGCGCCAAACCGCTGCGCCACCCAGGGATCCCGGACATCTGCATTTTTAAAGGAGGCCTGCCCCACATGCTTAGATTTCCAGCACATTCATCCACAATTTCCCATCTGCTGCCCGCCTGGGAGGGGATGTAGCACACAGTCCTTGGGCCCAGGGGGCTCACAAGTTAGCTGCTGAAAAGGCCAGTCCCGTCTGTTTTGCAGGTGTCTTTTCCAGCAGGGGGCAGAAGTCCTAAATAGTGGGAGATGCACAGACTTGCAATGGTCACACATGGGTTCTAGAGGCAGAGGGACCTGGGTTCAAATCCCAGCTCCGCCACTTACCAGCTAAGAAACCTGGGGTGAGTTTCCTAATGTTTGAGCCTCAGTTTCTGTCATCTGGGAGATGAATCCCTGAATGGGAGCCAGTGACCGGCTCGGCACAGCACCTGGCACAAGGTATAGACGCAAAAACTATCTGCCAAGATGTTCCAGGAAATACTAGAGGCTCACTACTGGCTTTTAGGAAATGCCCAATGATTCAGATGATAAGAGGACACCTTCTAGAGACTGACTCATGAGCTCTTCTTGTTCTAGTTCCTTATTTGTAGAGGAAACCACCAAGAGACTCTCTTCTTCCACTTGCTCTTATCTTGCAGGATGTGGGGGGTGGAAGTTAGCATGACATTTCTTGAGCATGCAATGCGTCCAGCCTGGTGTTAGGCACATCACAGACTGCACCTCTTTTAACCTCATAGCCCAAAAGGTACAACCGTTCACCCCAGATGAAGAGCGAAAGCAAAGAGAGAATGAAAGTCACCCACGGTCCAATAGCGAATGCACAGCTGGCTCTCCAACAAATCACCTCAGCTGCGTCTCAGCTCCTGACCCAAGCCAGGCCTCAACCCCAGGCGCCTGGAGATCCTTCCAAAAATGCACACCAAGATAAGACGTTATCCTAGCTTTTTGACTTAGGGCTCTAAAAAGCTTGGCTGAAGCAGCAAACCTTTTGGTGATTTATTCCAATACTCTTAACTGCCCTGTCAAGCCTGATTGGGAAGATGCCTGGCTGGGGCTGGAGTCTCTCTCTCTGGTCTGGATCCAGACCTCGGGTGAGTGACCTCCTGCCAGGCATTAGAGGCCCCCTCAACTCATGGCCTGGAAACTACAATGGAAAGAGCCTCAAGGTTCCATTCTTTTGACCACTCTAAATCTTGAACCAACCACCTCTCTGGGAAACCATGCTAAAGCCTGCCAACATTCCTATCTCCTTTCAGAGATTTATTCTTACAGAGTAAGAAATGCATCCACCCACGACCCTATGTAATGGAATCAGCTGATCCAGTCTTCATTTGAAAAATTAATCATAATAATATACCAATGATCACTAACACTTACTCTGAATCAGGTACTATCTTTCAGTAACCCACTGAAATAGATGTTATCATTAGTTCCACTCTATAGATGGGAAAACTGAGGTTTGGAAGGTAGAGTAGGTCAGTGAAAGTCAGGCAACCAGTTAGTGGCAAAGATAGAATCCAAACCAGAAACACTCTCCTCAGGAGGCCAGTCTCTACTCACTGCGTAATGCTTTCTCCGGGGAAGCTGGCCCAACTTCGCACTCCTTGTCCACCCACCTCAGTGACCAGCACATCTCCACTCTCGTACATGGCACATCGGTTTCTGCTGGGATGTGGAGTCTGTCTGAAGAACGTTCCAGACCAGCACATTTTCCTACCAGTGTGGACATGTGTGCCAGCCATTCCACCCCCGCTCAGCCCCGGCCACGGGGTTAGTAAGCTAAAAACAGCCTGGTTTTCAAGCAACAGCGAGTGACCTCATGAGATACAAGATTCGGGTTGAGGACTTTGTGGGTACATTTAAAAACCAAGGCAGAAACTTTATAAAAAGTGTACAATTTTAGGGGATCCCTGGGTGGCGCAGCGGTTTGGCGCCTGCCTTTGGCCCAGGGCGCCATCCTGGAGACCTGGGATCGAGTCCCACGTCAGGCTCCCGGTGCATGGAGCCTGCTTCTTCCTCTGCCTATGTCTCTGTGCCTCTCTCTCTCTCTCTCTCTCTCTCTGTGACTATCATAAATTAAAAAATAAATAAAAAATAAAAATAATAATAAAATAAAAAGTGTACAATTTTAGAAAAATCGTGCGTTGCATTGAGATGCAAATAAATAAATAAATAAACCAAGGAATGAATGAATGAATGAATGAATGGACCCAAAAGGTCCTCTGTGGCTGTTTATCACGGTACAATGACAGATGGTTTTTATTTCCTTATGGAGTCTCTCCTTTATGTTCCATCTCTCTACAACAAACACGAATTAACCTTTACCCAAAGAAACCAAAAAAGTTAGAAAAATCAGCTGATGGAGCCCCCCTCCCCCAAAAAGGTCTACATGACTCAGAATAAAGACAAAGAACTACTTCATCTGGAGGTAACGTCATTGGCACATGTTCCCTCACCTTGCAGCTCACACATTGTGCCCTGGTTATGAATTTACAGCTCCGTCTAACACGACTCGGGTTTCAAGCCTGCCTCTGATGCTGAGAATGTCGGCGTGGGGAGTGAATTACCTTAACCCATCCATGGCGCCTTTCCAGTCGGAGCGCGGCCTTCTGCAGTGGGAAGGTTTAATTACCCAAAGCTCTGTGACGCAGTCAGCCTATTTTTGGTCAGCAGGCGGGACAGGTTAGCTCTTTATCCAGTCCTGCCTTGGCCGAGCCTCAGAGGTCACAGAGAGAAGGCATTTTCATCCTGTCCTGGTGCCAAGCCTGTCTTTCTAGAAGCCACTCCAGTACTGGCTCCCGAGGAACCAGCCGGGCTCCAGCTCATTTCCCCCAAAAGACTGGTACAGTCGCTCCTCCAAGGATCGCCGCCCCCCCACCACCACCCCCACCGAGCTAGGGCTGGGAAATGTCTCAGCATGTACAGGACTGGGCAGAGGAAATGAGCTGCCCTCGCTTTGTAATGCACTTTAATGGACACATTTCACTACACGGATTAGGTGAGATGGCAGGGGGTGAGCTAACGCGGGGGATAAACCACACTGCAGGAGAAAGAAATGGGAATTCGGGGCAGGGGGCTGGAAGGGAGGGAGAAATCTGGAGAAGGAAGGGAGGGAGGAGTCTGAGTTGGGAGCAGGAGGTCCCATCAGTACACAGGGGAGTCCATGGAATAAAATGATAGCCAATGAAGACTCTCCCAGCTGGGAGGAGTGGCCGAGGGATTTTCAACAATACTAACAACAGTAATAATAATAATGTTGATAGTAATGACAGCTCACACTTACAAAGCACTTACTACAGGTATCTTTCCAAGCGCTGTCCTGCAGACCCTCAATGATCCTGTCCAGTACCTACAACTCTTATTCCCATTCGATAGAGGAAGAAACTGAGGCACCATGAGTGGTCTATCCAGAGTGACACAGTGAGTGTCAGAGCTGGGCTTTGAGAATCTCAGCCCGACTGCACAAACTTTGTTCTTGACCATTTGACCACGCTCCTTCCCTAGGACCAGCAGCAAGGCCCAGGGTTCCATCATACTCCACTTGCTGCTTTGTCCAGCTGTGGGAGCCCCCCCTGCTCCTTCGCTGCTGCTCGGACCCAAGGATGGGCCACCTCTGCAGCGTCTGCAGCCCTGGGGCCGGGGACCTTGGGGCAGGGGGTGGACCAAGATGCTCCCCCAGGGAAAAGCAGCCTGAGCTGAAGGAGATGTTGTAGAGAGCACAAAGGCAGAGGCGGCCTCAGCTTGGAAAGTGCCTTGGACAACTGCAGGAATCCCTGGGAAGGGGGAGAGATGCTCTGCAGCCCTCTGAATGTGAGATGGGGTTTCAAGCTGGTTTCACTTAAGTCACAAAGGGCGACAGGAACCTAAGCTAAGCTGGAGGATTCGTGACATTTCCAGACTGACACTTGAATTTAGTAAGTATTTGATTTCCTTGGTTCTAAGATATGCTTTTATTTTTAACATCTTAAAATTTCTGCAATTGGGATGCATGGTGTTTCTCTTTTCACTTTAAAAACTATTATTAAATCATTTAGGCAGCTCACCACCAAGGATGATTGAGAATAGAGGAAAAAGCAGCTAAGAACCTTCTGGTGGGAGCAGATGGAGCTGCACTGGCTTTGTTTTCTTGTCTCCTTACTACTGAGGCTTCCACTCCTCCAGCCATTTGTACAAATGCACAGAAGCAATGCCCCACCTCTACCTCACTAACATTTCCTGCTTGTCCTGATCTTAGCTCAAACATTGCTTCCTCAGAGAAGCCTCCCTGACCCAAAAAGACCAAGTCTAATTCCCCTAATCCATCTGTGTGATGGATTAATGTCCACCATCCCTCACCATACGGCACCCCTAAAGAGGGTAGGATTTGGCCTTTTTTTCCCCTCCTTCACCATTAAAAATCACCAAGTAGGAGCACAATAAGAATTTCAATAGTTTTGTGCCCCATGAGTAATTTGAATCTTGAACATAAAGCTAGAAGGGACGCCTGGGTGGCTCAGCCAGTCAAGCGTCTGCCTTTAGCTCAGGTTGTGATTCCAGGGTCCTGGGATCGAGCCCCCTGTCAGGCTCTCCGCTAGGTGGGGACTCTGCTTCTTCTTCTCCGTCGGCTGTTCGCTTACTGTGCACTCTTGCACACACACTCTCTCTTTCTAATAAATAAAAGTCTTTGAAAAAATAAAGCTAGTAGAAAAATGACTGATTCTCATCTCAGATGATCAAAAGTTCCTTTCAACAGTCCTTGGTAAATACCACCGCCAACAAGGGTGGGCATGAGTGGCTCTATTTATTTGGATTTAGTAATCCTGGAAATAGGTAACAAAAATTTTAATCTTTATATTCACAGAACTGGGAACCCCATTTTGGGAATATGGTACGTGGAATAAGCTCCAAGAAAAATAAATTCAATTCAGACGGAGATGGTCATTTGCAGCACTACTATAAACACAGAGAGTGGAAACGACCCAGTTCAATCATTGCAAAAGTTTAAGCAAATGATGCCACAGCAGTGATAAAGTAGAACAGAAATATTAAGACATAATTTCTTTTTTTAAAAAAATTTATTTATTTGATAAAGCGAGAGAGAGAGAGAGAGAGAGCACAAGCAGGGGGAGGGGCAGAGGGAGAAGCAGGCTCCCCGCTGAGCAGGGAGTCCCACGTGGAACTCATCCCAGGACCCTGGGATCATGGCCTGAGCCAAACGCAGATACCTAATCTGCTGAGCCACTCAAGTGCCCCATAAAAGACGTAATTTCTCAACCCATATTCCCATATGGTAACCGAGTGCATGTCCATGAAGCTGGGCATAAGGCAGGTCCCACACACAGCCCACACAACGTAAGATGGACATAAGAAGGGAGTTTAGGACAAGAATTCAGAGCAAAATAACTCAAGTTCCTTTTTCTTTAGCAAAGGAGGGGTTGGTAGCCTCAAAAGCAGATCTAAGGGAAAAGGTATGGAGCATGATCTCAAATACATATGGTCATATGTTATGACCACGAGGTGAGGCGTTTTAATAATAGTATCTTCTGGCTCATGGATGACAGGGGATTTTTTCTTCTTAGCTATGCCCTTTAAACAATTTAGCAATTCTCTGCAATGAGCATATAGAACTTTTATAATCAATAGCCTTAAAAGAAAAAAAAACTATAAACTAACTGTGAGGAATTAGTTTTAAATAGTGAGGAGAAATGGGCCAAAAGGTACACAGTTATTTATATCATTGTAAAAAAGGAAAACCATGGGGTTTCTCCCAGCCTTGTATCAGCCATAGTGCCAAACACAGGCAGAGAGCCCTCCCTCAAAATTCAACTCTCCCACACTTTATCTATTCTTTCTGATTTCCTGAATTCTTGCTATCAGCAGCCTCTACTTCATTTGATCTACTACTATTCTTAATCAACTTTTTGGGCTTCTGAAAACAGAAGTCAACATTTAAAAGGATAGAGTATTTGAATATTGTCCCAATTCTGATCATTCTGTTCCCAAAACCTAGTGAACATTCAGTAGACTAAAAATGATCATCAGCTTTTTTTTTTTTCCAATTCTGGAGGATAAAAAGGAGTAATATGAAAGGGAAAAATAGCCAGAGAAGCTGGTGGTCTTTGTAATATCCACACTCTGTGATGCAAAAAGGAGGGTCACAGGATCACATGTTGAACCAAATCCCTTATGTATTTAGCAATATCAGAAAATATCTTCGCACCATGCAAACCAAGCCTGCTGGCCTTCCCACCACACCAAGTCCAGATGACACTGCAATATTGCTTGTGCTCTGTTTTTGAATATTTGGACCCAAGAGCCTTTGCATCAGGGTTAACTGGTTGATGATACAATCTTTTTTAAAAAATAAATTTATTTATTCATGAGAGACACACAGAAAGGCAGAACATAGGCAGAGGGAGAAGCAGACTCCCCATAGGCAGCCTAATGTGGGATTCGATCTCAGGACCCCGGGATCACACCCTGAGCCAAAGGCAGACACTCAACCACTGAGCCATCCAGGTGCCCCAGTTGACAATATAATCTTAATGAAGTCATTCACATTATTGTGTATGTACAGATGGAAATAGAGCTTTGCACAACGGATAAATCCCACAAGAGCTGGGATTCATGGCTTTTTACCTAGACCAGGTTCTTCAGCAGTATTTCTGAAGACAGGAACATTAGAACCTCTAGAAAGAGTGGGGCTGAATGTAGAGGACGGACGTACTCATCAAGGATGAGGTCTCCTACTTCTAGGCGCTGGAGTTCTTCAAGATGCAATCACAGATGATGATTTTGGTAAAAGGCACAACTTTTCTAACACGTAACTAACCGTCTCATCAATGTGTTATTTAAACAAGCCTTTAAAGGGGAGGAAATGCTACCGAGAAGATAGAAACATGATGCATTCATTCACGGACTCATTCAATACACACTCATCAAGAAGCCTACCCTGGGCCTGGTTCATCGCTGGGCACTGGGGCGCAGGGACCCGCGCATTTTATTCACCACCATCCTGAGTCATTTCAGAGCCTTTTTTTTTTCCTGATAAATCGATTACTCTTCCCAATTTGTACTCCTCTTTTCTCTGAAACTACATTTCTAGAGAGAAGCTGGCTCACCCGAGGAAGCTCACGTTACTTTAGCCTCTGGGAAAACCAAGCATCCTTGCCAAATATCATACCAAAGGAGGCACTAATGTGCGTTTTATAATAACCTGTGGTTCCACCTTTCCACTTCTCCTTTTTATTCCAGGAATATGGTGATTCCCTCCTTCTCATCGCCCTTCACCCCCGACCCCCACCCTTCCCAAGATTTCTGACCTGACCATCCTCTCCTCTCCAAGAACGCACTGGCCACCTAGCGCTGCAACCAGCTCTGTCTTCCATCCCGGTCCCCCCTGCACCCCAGAGGAAAATCTGTCAGGTGTTTTAAAGTTTACCTAGCCTGGGGTCTGATGTCAAAGAAGTAACAAACTGTCCTACTGACTGTTGTCATTTGGCTGGAGCACTCAAGGTCACTAAGGGTTTGTTTGAACATTGTGCAATTATGAGAGGCAAAGACCTCATCAGGATCATTTTAGCTCTTTGATGTCCTTTTCCTCTCCTTAAGCAAGAATTACAGCTGTTCAATGTCCACAACAGCCAAACTGTGGAAGGAGCCTCGGTGTCCATCGAAAGATGATGGATAAAGCAGCTGTGGTCTATGCATACAATGGAATATTCCTCAGCCATTAGAAACGACAAATACCCACCATTTGCTTCGACGTGGATGGAACTGGAGGGTATTATGCTGAGTGAAGTAAGTCAGCCGGAGAAGGACAGACATTATATGGT